GGGGGGGTGAATATAAGGAACAGAAGAGTGCATGTGAGGGCAAGTACTATACATTGAGACCCCCCAAATAAGTAACACATAGCCAACAAAAGGCCCTTCTTCTAAAAATGTAAACTATATCATGCCTTCCCATATTTAAAATTGTCCATTGGGTTCCTATAACCCTCAGAATTAATAGCACCTTTCCATGGACTTCAGGGGCCCCATGATTTGATCCTTGCCTGATCTCGGGCTTAGCCTTCCCTACTCTTTCCTGAACCCACCCTTATCCAGTCACGCCAGCCTCATTTCCTTCAGGGACTCAACTAGCTACTCCTGTTTCAGCTCTAGGAACTTGCTGCAACCTGGTTGTTCTTTCCCAGTTCTAAAAGCTGTTACCTTATAATCTACTTCTAAGGTCAAATGGCTGCTCTTCAGGGATGACTCCCTGCTACCCAATTAAGGACCTCACCTCCGGCCTCCAGTCACTCTACATTCACTAATGCATTTTACTTCCATGAATGAAACTTATTTGGCTTGTTTATTTTCAGTTTCCTTATACTAAACTGTTCACCACAAGTTTCTCCAGCAACGGAATCAGTTTTTAGCACAAAACTGGATCTCTATAAACATTTCTTGAGTGAATAAATACTAAACTAAAGAGTTTGTAGTCTATGAAATAAGAACTATTGGAAGGTTTTTGAACTAGAGAATCACATTATCAGAACTATATATTTGGCCTGACTTAGGGTAGTGAACACATAATACAATATACAAATGATGTATTATAGAATTGTATACCTGAAACCTATGTAATTTTATTAACCAATGTCACCCCAATAAATTCAATAAAAAGTACAAACCTGTATATGTAAAAGATAATTCTGGCAACAACACTGTAGAATGTATTTGAGGGGAAATTATCTGAAGATAAAAAAATCTATTAATGGCTATAGAGATTGCCCAGGTAAAACGCATTGAATGCCTGGGGTAGCACGGTATTAGGAAAATGCAAAAAAAAGGACAAATAGAAAAGACAATTCAGGGTTAGACAGATTAGGTGAGGGAGTTGTGGAGAAGGAGATACTGTACGACTTGAAGCTTCAGAGAGAGTAAGTAACTAGTAAATTTTAAATAATTTTATTAATTTTAAATGTGATTAAAAATAAAGAAAAGTAAAGGGAGATAGGAATAAGAAATGAACAGACCAAGGTAGAAAGAGAGTGCTGTAATAAGAATGAGGCAGAAGAACAAAAGAGAAGGAAGGAAAGAGAGAAACCCACTATGGGACAGTAAAGGGGGGAAAAGAAAAGATTGTGAAGATGTTGAGAAATTACATTTTTACATTGTTAATGTGAATGTAAAATGATGTAGACACGTCAGAAAAGTTTAGCAGTTTTTCTAAATATTAAACAAACACTTGTCATATGACCTAAAATGCTACTCTCAGATATACATACCAAAGAAATGAAAACACATGTCCATACAAAAAGTTAAACATGAATGTTCATAGCAGCATTATTTATAAGAGCCAAAAAATAGAAAAAATCCAAATGTCCATCAGCTGATGAATATATAAATAAAATATGGTGTATCCATAAAATAGAATATTATTTGGCAATAAAAGACATGAAGTCTTAACTCTCACTATGGAAAATAGTATGGAGGTGATACATGCTATCACATTGATGAATTTTGAAAATATTATGCTAAGTGAAAGAAGACAGGTACAAAAGACCTATTCATATGAAATGTCTATAATAAAATCCATACAGACATAAAGCAGATTAGCAGTTGCTTGGGTTTGGGGCAATAAAGAGCAACTATTAATGGGTATGGGTTTTCTCTTTGGGGTGATAAAATGTTTGAAAATTGGTTTTGGTGATAATTCTGCAACTTTGTGACTATACTGAGCCATTGAATTGTATACTTTAAATGAGTGAAATATATAGTACGTTAATTATATGTCAATATAGCTGTTAAAGAAATAAAGGAAAGAGAGAAAAAGAAGGCAGGGAAAAAAGCAGGACAAAGACACTAAAGGCTCTGGAAGCTAAAAAATTAGTCTCTAATGCCCCCAAACCCAATTTAATTAAAAAGTGTTTTAATTAAAAGTAAAAGCTCCTGCCAGTTATTGTTCACTGAAGCTGTACAAGTCACCTATCTTTTGGCATTCATGTGACATCTCCAGCAGAATCAAATAGTTCTTTCAGTAGTTCTTTCTGGCTCAAGAAAGGCCTTATTTAATTTTCTTTTCACATTTCAAATTTTATTTTTTAAATAAAAACTATTTCCCAACTGTCAGATACAGTGACAGTAGGATTTGTTCATTAGAAAAGATTTGTAGCTAATACATTTTTGCATGTATTAACATTCAAAATAAGCTCTACTTTCTTGTAAAGGTCAAAACTTGTTGTTAAATAGCAGTAGGAAGCAATATGATTAAGGATAAGTGATGATTAATTAAAAACATTAGTAAGAAAGCAGAAAAATGCACCAACAAAACTGAAGCAATATTGGCCAAAGTGGGTGGGAAGTACGGCTCTGGACACTCACCTTATCTTCAATAGTCCAGGTCAACGGCATACACATTCTTTTTGGTATTCCTTGGTTTTAATTACCTCGATACTCTAAAATTTCCTTTGAGGAACAGCTTATCAGGGACCCTCACCATGTAAAATTGCATAATGAACAGAGATTTGAAGAGTAGCTCTTTCTGACATTATTTCCTTTTGAACTCTTTCACAACTAAAAGGCCAGTTATTTTAATTATGGCATCAATCAGCTTTTCACTTATGAAGCACCTCTTTCTTATTTGCATAATGTGGGGTTAAAGAAACAAGACATACAGCTTGTCAGAACATGAAACATAAAAGGAAGCACAAAAGTTCACTTAATCTTTTGCACAACTTGTAGTATTCCTACTCACATCGTAGGTTTTATAAAAGTCTTATATCTGGTGGTACAGTTAAAATGATCACTGCCATCATTGTTAAGCCACAGTTATTATGAATAATAACACCACCACCTCCTGATATTTTAATAACAAATTTATTCCACAGTTCTTCTTCCCTAGACAGTGGATTAAAACCCCAGCTACATGATTTACCCATCTTGTCTTATCTTAAATTTTCCCACACCCATTATTGTTTTTCAGTAGCTCTTTCCTGAGGATGCTCCAAAATGTGCTCACCACATAATGCCTACTTCTGAACCCTGTGATTACTCTTGAAGGCTCTGGTGGTCCTCCTTTCCCTAAGCTTGGAATCTCTAGAGTATCTGCTGAAATGCTCCTTGGAGATTATGAGGGCTTTGCTAGGCTCCCAAGCTGCTTCCCAACCTGTGCATAGTTTGTACCCAGTGTTGCCACTCAGATTCCAAGGTCCTGAGCACCAGTTCCCACCTCTTTCTTTCAAGAGCAGCACATCTACCATCCAGCACACACTTTCCATGAGCTCACTCCACCCCAACATACACTCCTTGGTTATCATTTCTCTGCTGCTGCTTTTGATAATAAAAACAATAAAAAACAAAATTCCTAAGTCCTCATCGTGTTTTAGTTACTGTTCTAAGTGCTCTTACATATATTAGCTTATTTGTCTTCACAAGAATGTGCAATACCCACAGGTGGGTATTATTACTATCATTTTATAGGTAAGGAAGCTGAGGCACAGAGGCTGAAGGACTGCCAGGGTCCCACAGCAGGGGAGCTGGGATAGCAACTCAGGCCAGCTGACTGCAGAACCCACACTCCTAATCACTATGCCCAACAACCTCTTTCAGAGACCATGAGCTCTTCAAAACATGCGGCCGCTGTGTGGCAGAAAGAAATCCTTTTATTCTTCATCCTTCAATCATTGAGTGACAACATTTGGTAATATAAGCCATTTTAAAAAGCTCCAGGAAAAATAACCAATGTCAGCAGAGCTATCTAAGGGAAAAGGCCCTGGAGATGTACCTTGGTAAAAGATTGTTACATTGGAAGAAATGGCTGGCATTGAAAAGAGCCAGAAGAGTTCATTCCATTCTGTTGAGGTCAAGAAGCACCTTCCATTGAGGCAGTTTGGGTATGAGCCACTCAGAATTTAAACAAAGGTAGGGGAGGAATTAAAAAGAAAACACTTTTCAAAATGCTTTAATTCTTTGTGAAAAATTTCCTAGACCGACCTGCTGAGTGGGTTGCTTTCATCACTGCTCATCTTTGCTTTGGCAGGAATACCTCAACGGTGAGGTCACATATTTTTCTTTTCTTTGAATGTCAAAAGTTTCTCTAAGGCTGTATTTTCCTGCACTACAATGAACCTGTTTAGTCATCTTGCTGGCATAGTATGACCAAAATTAAATGTCTTGAGTTGGAACGGTTAGGGGGAGAGAGAAGCCAAGAAAGAAAGAGAATTGTCCTTTGGTAATTTGTAAGTACAAAACTTCTTATAATTGTATCTTGATTCCAAGTAACTGCTTAATCTCTCCCCTCCTGCTATGTTTGAAAAATTCATCTTTAGCAAAACTCTGATAAAAATAATTTTTGTGGTTGAAGTAATTTAGAGCTGCCTACTACCTGATGACACATTCTCTTATTTAGTGCACAAACATTTACCTAGTGTGTATGAAGTACAAGCTCCACCAATACAGAATAACCACTGAAATCACACATTGCAATTAGTCAATATGTAAGTTAAAATTATACTAGTACTAAAAAATAGGGAGAAAATTATTTTAGTTTTTTAAAATATCCAAGAATAAATATAAGTCATGGCTGCCTGGTTAAGGAAATAAATGTACATTTTTACCTGTTACTCATATGTGGACCCCAAAAAGAAAGATTCATTTTAATATAAACCTCAAAATGGAATTTATCTGCTGAGATTGACTCCCCATGGTCAACCAGGTGCCAAAATTTTATAAATAATAAGAGCCTAGCAGCCATTTGCTGACAGGGACTAGTCACGTACTATGTATACCGGGAAGAACCTCAGACTGAACTCTCAGCTTCCCACTCTTTGCCTCACTTGTTTACATGTGCCATATAAATCAGTCNAGAATTTATCTGCTGAGATGGACTCCCCATGGTCAACCAGGTGCCAAAATTTTATAAATAATAAGATCCTAGCAGCCATTTGCTGACAGGGACTAGTCACGTACTATGTATACCGGGAAGAACCTCAGACTGAACTCTCAGCTTCCCACTCTTTGCCTCACTTGTTTACATGTGCCATATAAATCAGTCAGTGCCAGGGAAGCCCTGGCTTTGTTTTTCTACCAACTGAGACCTGCCCCATCCAATCAGAACTACACAAGTTGGTATCTCACTTACATAAAATGGACCCAACTGGGAACCTGGGTGGGAACTTTCACTATAAATGGCAACCTCCCCTCTGTCTCATGGGAACACAACTTAAGTTGTTACTTGAATCTGTGTTTTCCAGGCTACATCTCCATTTGCTCAAATACATGCTTGTTATTCTTCATTACAGTCTAAGTTTAATTTTGGCTTATACATACCTAAGTTCTCTAATTTAGTCACAAGGTTTCTGGTGTTAGAAGTGCAACAGTTTAGTGGGGAACCATATGATTCTGAAGATGAGAACAAGGTCCGCCGTTAGGAATGGTTTTCCCTATCTTACTCAGAGAAGACAGTGAGAAAATAGGACCAGCATTTTTAAGCTTTAAAAAAATTATCACTATTTTGCAGCCATCATTTCCTCCAAAGAGAACTCATTAGTCTTTCTTCAAAGTTTTCTTAGAGCCTAGCCCAGTGTGGCTCAGCAGTTGAGCATCAACCTCTGATCCAGGAGATTAGGTTCGATTCCCGGTCAGGGCACATGCCTGGGTTGCGGGCTCCATCCCCAGTGGGGGGCGTGCAGGAGGCAGCCGAGCAATGACTCTCTCTCATCATTGACGTTTCTATCTCTCTTCCTCTCCCTTTCTCTCTCTGAAATCAATAAAGATATATTAAAAAAATATTTTTTCTTAGACAGTCTCTGTGACTTTGGTAGCAATTTGTGTGCACCATGCTCCTTCTCCTCTATAAGATTATAAGTTTCTTGAGAGGCAGCTCTACTTAAGATTCTTTTTATATTCCCCTACTTGTACATGGGAATACTCAATAAATATCTACTGAGTTAACTAATGAATATATATATTACGTTTACCTCTATTCTTGTTCATAAACTCTACTTTCTCAAGTACGTCCTTAGGAAGTCCTTGTCCTTGTCTATGGCTCCTTGTCTTTGTTTATGCTATTCCCTCTGTATGGTACATGCCATCCTTGCCAATTTCTACTTCTTAGCCTTCACGGCCAAGTTCAATGGGCAACTTCTTTAAGACAAAACCATTTGTGCCTGCTTCTCTCTCATTAGGCATAATTCCATTCTGACATATGTCTTTTGTATTATAGTTGTTATTTAATGTGTCTCTAGATTACACATTNAGGGCAACTTCTTTAAGACAAAACCATTTGTACCTGCTTCTCTCTCATTAGGCATAATTCCATTCTGACATGTCTTTTGTATTATAGTTGTTATTTAATGTGTCTCTAGATTACACATTCTTGAAGATAGGAGACTGTGTCTTATTCATTTTTGAATCTTGAGCAAAAAGTGGCACACACAAGAAATTGGCAAATGTCAACTGAATGAGTTTATGATTGCCCATGATCTTCTATTAATAAAGGTGATTTATATGTTCATTAGCTCTTGCCTGTGCCCCAGAGGGATCCCGGCTTTTCTACTGATACTTCAGATATTTGCAGAGTACTGCAGGTACTCTTGTCTTGCAATCAACCAAGGCATAGTAGGCCAGAATAACTTGAGATCCTTCCAGAAACACAGCAGAACTCAGAATTAATACTACCTGAAATACATAGCAGAGCTTAGGTTATAAGTTCTGGGGCGGGGAAACTGCTTCTAGGTTCTTTGCCCAGATACAAGGATATAAGAACTTCCTCATTCCTTCCAGATCATTGATGCCAAAAGGCATACCTCAGTTATATCTTCAATTATTTAACTAGGGCCTATATTTTCTGCTTTAACAGTACCAGCTACCATTCCCAGGGAAGATAATCCCTTCTCTTTCTTTTCCATGAGTACTTGTAAGAGGAAATGAAGCAGTACCTCTAATGATCAGAGCCATATTCCTGTTCAGTTCTCTCATGGATTAGATCTTCCTAGACAGCCCTGTTGATCTGCTTCTAGCCTTCCTCAGTTCTATAATTGCTCAGATTTGGTCTTTAGGTTGTGGGCCCTGAAACTGGAATGGGGGAAGAGCTTTGTCACATTTTCCTGTTTCCACAAAGGTTTGCCAAATGGCAGTCATTTGCATTCCACTTTCATACTTTTTTGCCATATTTGTGTGCTACTGGTACTATTATCTTAGTATTTTTCTTTAAATTGATTCATTATTTATTTAAATAAATATGGCCTTATCCTATGCAATATCACAAAGAAAAAAATCACAGGTTTGAATACTATAAAATAAATATATTCCTAAAAAATAGATATTCTTATAATCCTATAAAATAGATATTCATCATATACCACCAGTGGTTCTCATGCCATGGAGTTCCTGGGTCCAAAGTCCTGAGCTATCACTATTTATTTGTTCATTATATAAATGATCTCTTTTTGGTTTGTTTATTATTTCTTCATTATTGTTCTGTTTTTTTCTACATGTCCTGTTTTAGATGCTCTTTGTATGCATTACAGATTACTTGTTTATAAATGGGAATTATGGGTTTATGTATAGATGTGTGGAAAGAGCCCTAATGGCCCAAGTCCTAATTCGAGCTTCTCCAATATCCAACTTTGAGGTTTTAGTAGTCACTCTGAGCCTCTGTCTATTCATGCTAGAATGAGAGGAGTGACCCGTATGCCCTCACTCTTTGAAGCTCATTGTGATTTGAAGCACATGAACCAAATATATGGTATTGATTCATTTACAAAGAAAAACTATTTCAGAATATCTAGTTAATGGACTGGGAAATATATAAAAAAGTAGTCACTGTAGTATAATTCTGACTTTTTAAGATCAAAATATAAAGTTAAACATCAATGAGTTTTTATTGACAGTATTTTTCTAAGTTTTTATAGAAAAAATATATCTAAATGTTACCAAATGCAATATGAGCTAACCATGAATTCCAGGAAAAAAAATTCTATGCCAAAACTGTGAAATTGCGATTCCAATGTTTAAGTTCTGTTTGTTTTTAATATACAACTCTCTTTCAAAAGGCCACCAATACGAAGCAGAAGAACAAATTCCTTGAAACCATGGATGATTGCCCTTATTATTGCAGCTGTTGTGTTGGTTCTAGCAATAATCATCAGTCTCCTTGTTTATTTTTTGGCATTTGGTAAGAATCTATCTCATTTTATTTTTTGGAAATTTAAAATATCCACTCAATTATTTCAAAACCTTAATATTTTCTAATATTTTAGAATACTATTTTCATTGCAACAACTTGAATAAATGTATATATACTTTGCCTAATGTAATGTTGATTTGTATAAATGTATGTACATTTTGGAAATTATCATTCTTTATGTATAAAATTGCTTCTAGCACTTAAAATTTGACTTGGCTCACATAATATTATCTCTTGACCAATGCCATAGATTTACATCCTATGTTATTGTGTGGTTTAATATTATTTAATGTACTGAGAATTAAAAAATTATTTTAGTAGCAATTCTAAATTTGAGGTCAACATGTGTCAGGACACAACTGAAGACTACATGAATAAGAGAACGTGCAATCTTTAAAAAAGAAGGGATAGGTATTGGCCACAGCTATTGAATGTTCAATTCTCAGGAGTTCATCAATTATAGGACATTTTTGCATGCCATCCCCTCTATTTCTGTTATTTATCTAACTCGTATGAACTAAAGAGAAACCATGGATTTTTTGTTCCCCCTTCCAGATCAGGAAAAGTTTCACTATTACCAAACTTCCTTCCAGATCCCCAGTATTGAATATAACCCTGATCTTTCAGTAGAACACTCAAAAGTTAGGACTGATCTGAAACAAAAAATCAGTGATGAGGTAAGTCTTAAGTTTTGCTGATATCATTCCTAACAATACTGGGAAGAAGGGGGTTAAAATGAAAGTAAGAGGAGAGCTGAGAACATATCAAATTGCACATATGTTAGGTTTGCCAGACAAAATACAGTGTCCAGCTAAACTTTAATTTCATATCTTACTGAAAATATACTTCATTCAATATTTTGAACACATTTATACTAAAAAATCACTTATTGTTTATCTGAAATTAAAGTTTGTATTTTTATTTGCTAATCCTGGCAACTCCTAACCAACATTGTCTCAAGTACACTAGAAAAATGATGGCTGCACCAAAGACTGAACAACATAATCTAAACAGAAAAAAAAAATAGCTTAAATACCAAAATAAAAACAAAAATAACTCAATCATTCAGGCACAGACAGCATTACCAAATTTAGTCCTAAAAATAGAGCACAGAAACATACAGATTTCAACTGAAGACTTCAGTTGTATACAGCTTCTACTGAGCCAAGCATTGACCAAAGATGAAATATCATTCTTGCCAGGTTCAGAAATATTTTTTAGCCATTTCCCAAACAAAGCAGAAGGTGATGAAATGAGTTGAGAGATGCAACTAAGAGGGGTTGATAGGGTATAGAATATTTTGTTACAGAAATAAATATATTTAATTAGAGACAGTCTAAGCTTTGATGTCAGAACATATAGATTCCTATCCCAATTCTAACCTTTGTCAGCTTCTCGTTTGGGAAAGCTACTTCCACTTCAAAATAAGGATAATCACACCTACCTCTCTGAATTATTCTGAGAATCAGTTTATGTTGCAAATAAACAGTATGAAAAGTAATGTGTGAATGAATTTTAGCATCTGTTTCAAGTGCTCTCATAGAACTTTTCACTAACCTCTTCTAGAGCACTTACTGCCTTGTGACATTATTATTTCATATGTCTAGGTCCCTCTGGATTTGTGAGGGACTACGTCTACTATTCTTATAATTCTGGTGCCTATCACAGTGTCTGCCACATGGTAGGATCATAGAAATACTCATTGAAGAGATGACAAGGAAGTAAATAAACAATTTTCTAGTATTGGCCCTGACCTCTAGAATATAAATGGTGACAACATAAGAGAAGTATTGTAATTTAGAAGTACAGTACAGAAGTACAATAATTTAGACCAGATGTTGACAATATTCTTCTGTCAAATGCCAGGTAGTAAATATTTTCAGCTTTGCAGGCTATGCAGTCCTTCTGAAGTAATTCACATCTGTCATTGTAGTGCCACTGCAGCCCGAGACAATATGTCAGCTAATGAATGTGGCTATGACTCAGGAAAACTTTACTCTGGACACTGAAAGTGAAATTCTGTAAAGTTTTTAGCTGTCACAAAACATTATTCTCTTTTTATATATTTTTTACTATTAAAATAATGTGAAAGCCACTCTTATATGATGGGCACACAAAAACAAGTGGCTGACCAGATTTGTCCTACAGGCTATAATTTGCTGATTCCTGATTGAGACACTGAGTTACAGTTCTAGAAAACATTTTCCTAGAAGAAATGACTAAAACCAGTACCTAAAATGAAATTTAGAGATGTCCTTTGGAGTTCAATAATCCAGGCTCTTTATATTCTCAGTTGCCATGGGCTATAACATGGTTCACAAAGCTGTGATTTAAAGGGAAGCAACAACAAAATAATAATGAAATTGAAAAGAGAATGGAAGTAGACAGGCAGAGAACTTATAATAAAATTTATAAAAATCAATGTAGAAAGTCTGGAAGTACATATACCAAAAATGTATATAGCAGGCTCTCTACAGTGATTTGGAAATTATCGTAATGCTTTTCATTCTGCTTTGCTGTGTTGCTAGGTTTTTATAACTTACAATGAATATGTATGAGGTTTTGTCATATAAATGTACATGGGTATATATAAAACTATTTCCTTAAAAACATTTTTCTTTACAGTTAGAAGGGAAACACATGGTCATTGATTTCTGAATAACTATTGATTTTTCAGTAAACTTATGCTTTCCAACCTGTCTAATATGATATGACATGGTGCCTCACCAGAAAAAAGTTTCATAAATGAAACCAGATGAGTGAAAAGCGCTGTTTGACACGTATCTAGTTTCACAATCTGACAGCCCTTCTCTTCTGATTTGAGGACATAATTATGGAGACTTGGGTTCACTAACGATTTGGCACATGATCCGTCTTTTTTTCTGAAAAGCCAAATTGATGAGTTAATGCTAATGAATAGCTTAGTACAACCACAGATTCTGTAACAAGCTGTGGTTTTAGTAAGAAATAATTTCTTCTAGGAATTAATACTACAAAATATTATCCCATAAAAGTCTAAAATGACACACAAATAACATAGCCTTATTCTAAGTAATTATTCCATGATTTTTCTTGATGAGTGTATTCATTTTAAAGAAGTACCCAATAAATATATATTCTCCTCTCCCCTATTTACCATAGGATCAAAATATGGCCTAAAAATTTTCAGTAAAGCCTAAAAGACTGATTCTTTAATCATCTCTATGAGGATGATAACTGAGCTTAAATCATAGCAGATTTTATGCCCATACATACCAAGTTTTCAAAGAAACTCAAGTCTTTGTACCTCCAACTCTGTGTATATTTTATACTGGCTATTGAAATATCCAGCTTAATTCAACTCTATATTAGTCATCTTTAACCATGTGACAAGTTCAAATATCAACATCTAATTACTAGCATGAGCTTGCTGATAACAGGATTATGCCCCCAATGAGCTTTCTGGGGATAGAGGTAATTTAGAATTAAATGCTATTTTAATCACTGCTGGTTTTATACAATTTTTTTTGTGATATATTGAAATGTGTGAAATTTTTATTTAACAAAGTTCTATACTGTTGTTTTTCTCTTTTCTCAGATAGATAAGATATTTCAAAGTTCCAGTTTAAATAATCATTACAAGGAGGCCCATGTTGTCAACTTTAGGTAATCATAACTAATCAATTTGTATAATAAAAAGGCAATTTTGTATTGTTTAGTTATTCTTCAGTTTTTTGCTTTGTGGACAGGATCTAAAAATCTTAGATATGCCAAGAGTAAAAGCAATTTAATATTAATACATTTAATTGTTACTCCTTCTGTACAGAGTACCTATAGGGGAGACTTTCCTAACTTCGGTAGAGATGAAATATATTCTACTTGTTGTCCTTTTAAAGACTTGCATTTCAGCCATGGCCCAGTGGCTCGGCTGGTTGGAATGTCATCCCATACACCAAAAAGGCTGCGAGTTTGATTCTGGTCAGGGCATATACCTAGGTTGCGGGTTCAATCCCTGGTCAGGGCACATGCGAGAGGCAACCAATGGATGTTTTTCTTTCTCATTGATGTTTTTTTCACTTTTACTCTCTCTCTTCCTCTCTCTCTCTCAAAATCAATAAAAACATAACCTCAAGTGAGGACCTAAAAAAAACAAGGCTCGCATTTCAGTTAAAGATTCCCACAATCATTAAATACTTCTACTTAATTTTTAAATATTACTTACTTTTTGAAGATAAACAGATATTATGAATTTTCAAAAATCAAGAAAAAATAGGTGTAGACAGAGTTAATGGATTTAACAAGTGCTTTTCATTTATTTTTCCTGAAAAAAAATTCTAGAACTCTGTTATTCTCCCCTCCCTGAGTATGATCAAGTTTTATAAGCAGGGAATAATTTATGTATTGACATTTATAAGATAAAGGAAAGAGAAAAAAATCCATGATAATAAAATGTAAAATTATTTATACTGTTGTGTGTTTTTTTGAAGATATAGCTAAAATTTAAATAAGGTATAAAATAATAATTACTATGGCTCTGACTTTGCTCATTTATTCTGGTGTTTTTGTTTTTCAGGTCAAGTAATGATGGTTTGAAAACAGATGTGTTGCTTAAATTTCACTTTGTTTCTAACAATGCAGAAGCAATAAAAAGTCAAGCTGCTAACATTTTGCATCAGAAGTTAAAATTAAATGGAAGCTTCTTGAAGTTAGATACTTCATTACCTTATCTTAGAGGCAAGAAATACCATTTTTTTCTCTTGTTATAGTTCATCATTTTAACTCTCTTCTCATCTACAGAGAAAGCATCTTTATTTTACCATAAAATGAAACTACTTTCATTTTAAGTCTCTGATTTACTGGGTAATAAACAAAACCCCACACAATAAACACCAAGATGATCTTCCTTTGGAAATATGGAAATAATTATGAAAGAATAATTAGATAATAACACAAATATAATAGCATTTCCTCCTTTTTAAAAGAAGGGTATTAGTGTAATTGATTAACTTAATTAAACATAGACATGATGAAAACCTAGATTCTGCTACTGTGCCATGACAAGACTCTCTTGTTACCTCTTTATAGCTACACCTATCCCCTCTGCCCATCTCTAGCCCCTTGCAATCACTAATCCATTCTCCATCTACATTTTTATTGACTTTATTTTTAGAGAGAGAAAGAGAGGGACAGAGAGATTGAAACATTCAGTCACCTACGCTCCCCACTTTTTAGATTTATTTTAAAGTATTTCCTCCACATATACTCAGCACACCATCAGATGGATGTTATGTCTTTTGCTTTAACAATAAAATGTTTAAAGAGACTCATGAGGTAAAAGATAGCCTATCGTGTTTTTTCTAATTTTGCCCATTATGCCTCTTTCTTCCCTTTCTGAAGGTTCCAGCCTCCTTCTGTCATCACTTGCTTTTTGTTTGGATGGTTTCTTTTAGCCATGATCTAAGAGAAGGTCTGTTAGAAACAAGTTCTTTTAGGTCCTCTGTATCTAAGAGTATCTTTACTTCTTCCTCATTTCTGAAGATAGTTTCACTGGATATAGGATTTTTGTTGATAGTTTTTCTTTCAGAATTTGAAAAATGCTATGCTACTTCCTTTTGGACTTCATGGTTTCAGATGAGGAAACGGCTGTTATTTAAATGGGGTTACTTCATAGGTAATGTATGGTTTTCCCCTATCTCTCTGTCTTTAGTTTGCAGTGGTTTCATTATGGTGGCTTTTGGTGTGGATTTCTCAGAGTTTTTCATATTTAAGATATGCCCCCTTCTTGAATCTGTAGGTCTCTGTCTTTAGCCAGATTTGGGGAGTTCTCAACCATTATTCTTTAAATACTTTTTAAAATTCTATACTCTTTCTTTCCTTCAGGAACTCTGATGATTCGAATGTCAGATTTTTGTTATCACCCCACAGATCTCAGAGACTGTTAATTTTTTTAGTCTATATCTTTCTGTTCTTCAAACCGAGTAAATTTTATTGACTTGTCTTCAAGTTCACTGATGCTTCCTCATCATTTCCACTCTACTATTAAGACCACCCAGCAAGTTTATTTTATTATTGTATTTTTCAGTTCTATAATTTTCTATTTAGATTTTTTTTTATAATTTCTATTTCTTTGCTTAGATATTCTATTTTTTCACTTGTTTCAAGAGAATTTATAATTCATCGCTGAATTACTGTTATGGCAACAGCTTTAAAGTCTGCAGCAGGTATCTTCAACACTTTATTCATCTCAGTGCTGGCACCAGTTGACTACATTTTATCATTCAGATTGTGATTTTCCTGGGTTTTGGTATGGCAAGTAATTTTTGTTCTGATTCTGAATCTTTTAGTTATTATGTTAGGAGACTCTCAATTCTATTTAATTTTTCTGTGTTAGCAGGTAGCCAACCTGTTTAGGTTTGAAGTTTAGATTTTCCCTTACTTTCATCATTCTGATAACAATTTAGTTTTCAGAGTCCTCACATTGCTATTCCAGCCTTCTGAGGCTTCCTCTTAACCTGCTGCTGGTACTATCTATGGGAATAGAACATGATTCTCTGGGCTGCCTTCTATCTTTGGGCCACCCTCTACGGAGGGATACAGTGAGCCTGGGCCTACTTATCTCAGTGGGGTGGATGCCGGTTGATATTGTCCTTGCGGGTATATCAGCCTGCAAGCTGGCAGCCTGGTTGTGAATAAAGATTGGGATGATCAAGGGCTTCCTGCTGTCCCTGGTGTTGCTACTGCTGGCAGAATAGATTGCCAGCCCTCGGTTGGTAAGCAGAAGGTTTGGGCTCCCCACAAGGTACCTGCTATTTTCTTCTTTCTGTAAATTTAGATGGAGACTAAAGACTTCTCTTGGGATTTTTTTTGGTCTATGCCTATTTGTGATTTCAGATGACAGACCTCTATTGGGCTCTAGTCCAAAGTATATGTGAGGTAAAGAGGAAACTCACCACATTTTCCTTCCTCAAATCCTGAAGTCTCTAGCCATTCTGTCCCTTCTAGCTTCTGGATTCCTTTTACTATCTGATGGGTAATGTTTAGTGTATTTAGTGATATTTATAGGAGAAGAGCAGGGAAAGTGAGTCTACACAATCTTGTTCTAGAACTTGAGCTATTGGACCTCTTTTACCCTGCAGATAGATCACATCTGTTGGGTAATGTTCACATATGAGATATAGCACCATCATCGAAATTCATCAATAGTTTTTCATACATAATAATAAGTCTAGGCTAAAATTAGCTGTAAACTAACCATAATTTCACCTTTCTCTCACTGATCCATAACATAAAGGGTGACACTAGACTGTAATTCACCTTACAGTGAAATGGTTGCAGGACAAGCTTTTGGCCACAAGAACTATTTAAATCATGCCCTTAATAGGTTTGGCTCACAATAGTATTGTGAAGATATAGTAAGTAATGTGAAATGTTTTTCACAGTCCCTGGTATACAATACTTAATAAGTTATTGCCTATCGTTACTGCTCATCTATTCATTCAGCAAATATTTACTGGGAATCTATTTGTGTCAGGACCTTAATTCTCTGCCCTCATGGAGCTAACATTCTAACTGGGCTAGGAAAGATAATGATTCAGTAAACAAGGTAAAATCCAATAATATGAAACTCCGTGCAGAGAGTAGGCTAATTTAGATTTGTTTGTCAAGGAACGTCTGTTTGAGGAGAGTATTTCTAAGCTGAGATCTGAATTACAATGAGGGAACCAACCACAAAATAGATAAGTAAATAAATAAAAGGGCAAAGGAAGAGCATTCCTGGCAGAATAGGCAGCTAGAACAAAGAAAAGGCATTAACACCTTGGCACAGTCAAAAACTGGAAGTCTGACCTGGCCCATGTGGCCCAGGTGGCTGAGCATCATCCCGTTCACTGAAAGAGTGAAGGTTTCATTCCCGGTAAGGGCACATACCTAGGTTATGGTTGGTCCCCGGTTAGGGTGCATACATGAGGCAATCAATTGATATTTCTCTCTCTCTGCCTTTCTCTCTCTAAAATCAATAAACATATCCTCAGGTGAGAATTAAAAATTTTTATTAGAAACAAAAGAACAACAACAAAACACCTGGAAGGCCAAGGTGGCAAATGGGTTGGCTAAGAGCAAGAGCAGCTCAACATGAGAACAGAGACATAAATAGGGATCATGTGATGCAGATCCAGGTAGGAAGTTTGGGTTTATTCTAAAGGCCAAGGAAGGCATTAGAGGATTGTTATTATTGGCAAAACATAATTCCTAATAAACCCCCTACCCATAGTTATCTGCAGATGAATTCTATGTTCCCCTTTAGAGTCTGACCTACATTAAAGGCTCCTTAATTTGCAGGTTTACTGAAACTTCACACTAGCTTTCATTGTAATAAAAGGTGTGTCTAGATTGCTCATTACACTAACTGGCATAAGGAAGAATTCATATAATTGTGGGGAACAGCTACTGATCATGCTTTTTTTCTATTTTACTTCATGGAAAAATGACTAACATATATGAGGATTTGTTAGTACCTTGGTAAATTTTGATTCCTGGGGAGCATCTCTGGACTAACCCTAGATGCCAGGTGTCTAAGATTCTTGAACAGCTTTATAGTGACACTACTGTACAACTGAGGACAGAGGAGAATGGTGTCCAAACATATCTAAAAGTGGTATTAGATTCTCTTCTGTTTCACTTATATTTTAATAAGTTGGTATGGCATTAATTAATTAGATGCTTTTCTCCTTCATGGCAAACAATATCCCCTCTACCAATGTTTTTATAATCATTAACCAGTATTTTCCTGGAGTGCACATATAGTAGTCAGAGAAGAGTCTAATTTCTATCTAAGCCTCTCCTTTTTGTAGGATTTTATTCTATTGCCTTTAAATTAAGTAGTTCCCGACTAATTCAGTTTCTCCCAAATAGAAATATTCATGTCATGTAGGCACAGTGTTTTAAATTATAATTGTTCCATTGCCGAGCAATCATCTTTTGTTGTGTGTTTTTTTCCCGGTTTTCTTTTCACAGATATAAATAAAATACAAGCAGAGCACATTCTGAACAGTGGTAAGTTGAAAAATAACACTGAGATGTTTATAAATCAAATAATACAACTTAAAACACTTTTAAGAGTTTCTCTACACCCAAGTTGACTATTTCCAAAAGTATATGTTATCTCTGAATGGATACATGATTTAACTCTTCTCAAGGGAAAATAATTACTAGTAATAATTGAGAATGTCATATGGATTCCTTGTATATAACTTGCTCTTCCTTATAGAAGATTTTACTGATGACTTCTTTTAATAATTCTCTTTCATTTTATCTTATTTATCTTTATTTGTCTCACTTTGTTAAAGTAGAAAATTTGCTTATAAATAAATGATACTCATTAACTTTAATATGTAAACTCTGATATTTATACTAAAGTAATATGATGGTTTTAATATTAGACAAGTATTTTAAAAATAGTACAAATAGTATTTTTCTGCAATAATTAGTGTACATTTCATAATAAAAATCACCAAATATCACTGGGGCAAATGCTGCACATAAGAACATGACCCAAAAACATATGAAAAAAATTTAAATAAAATTGCTTTAAATATATCAAGAGGGTGTCAAATATTTGATGTTTTAAGTTAATCTTTTTTTAGCATAATTATTATGTCATATAGTTTTGATTATTTTTTAAGGCAAGGTAAACGTATGAATCTTTCTATCTTTTACTGTGTGTCAAACATACTTACACACATTGATAACTCTAGAAATGATCATCTTATTCTCTTATGACAGGTTGTGGTTTAGGAAGGGAGTCCCCATCCATGGAAAAAATTGCTGATGGTTATATTGCAGAGAAAGCTGACTGGCCATGGCAAGCCAGCCTGCAAATGGATGGCATCCACTTCTGTGGAGCATCTTTGATCAGTGATGAGTGGCTCCTGACTGCTGCTCATTGCTTTGACACGTAAGTCCTCAATCTGCACCAACGGGATCACCAATGTCACTTCTTTTCCTCACCTTCACTTCCTATAATTTGTATCCCTTTTTCATTAACCATTTTAGCCCCCCCTCCCCCCCTCTCCCAATAGTACTCATGATTTTGGGGCAGGTTTAGAAGAAGTGACAATTACTGAATAGTAGAAAAAATTAGAGTATCTTCAGCTCTAACTGAATAGATATTCTCCAGCAATCTCAACTTTAAAAACAAGCCAACACTGTCAAAATTTAAACACACTCACCAATTTTCCTGAGGTATATCGTGGATTTTTTCAACTCTGCTAATAGTATCCCAACTCACAAACCTACATCTGATTTTCCCACACTTACATCTGATTATCCCACATGGATATCTTTGGTGCTTTACTTTTATTATTTATATGCTCGCTGAAGATTTAACATGTGGGACACTTGGAGACAATAAAGAGATGCAGTACCTCTAGTGCAATTCTTATAAAATGGGAAAATGTTCTGGATAAAATGTTAAGATGAGAAAGGATGAGAAGACAATGTATCAATTGTGGTTCCAACTTCTCTCTTCCTCCCTTTCTCTCTCCATAACTACACATACATACATTTATATAATTGTGCATGGATATGAGTGATATGAGTGTATGTATATATGTGGGTACATATCTCTAATTTTTATTTATTTATATTTCCTTAAAAAATAGCAATAATACATTGTTTCCTTTAAAAATTACAAACTCCTTAGAATGGGGGAATTTGTCATCAGCTAAAATGAATGCAAAGAAGTCCTAGGGGAGGAGAAGGTGGGAGGATTCCAATCAACTGTCACCATGATAGGCCCTTCTCCCACCCTATGTCCCATGCTCATCCAGAGTATTGGGTGACTTCAGATCAGAAATGAACCAACCATAATCCTTTTCATCTGTGATCAGTTACAAGAACCCCAAACTCTGGATGGCTAGTTTTGGAACAACTCTAAGCCCTCCACTGATGAGAAGAAGGGTGCAGTCAATTATCATTCATGAGAACTACGCTGCCCATAAACATGACGAGGACATCGCTGTGGTGAGGCTCTCCACGCCTGTCCTGTTTTCCAACGATGTGCACAGAGTCTGTCTCCCCAATGCTACTTTTGAAGTCTCGCCTAAGAGTAAAGTGTTTGTCACCGGATGGGGAGCATTTAAAGCAAATGGTGAGTACCTCAGTAAAAACACCCAAGCAAAACACCAAAACCTTCATTTGAGTGGAGATATAAAATAAGATACCAAATCAAAGAATAGAAAATAAGAGATGAAATCAATATGTCCCATGAAAAATATGGCAGAAACAACAAACAAAAACCCAGGTATGGTAAATTATGAAAACTTTGGCTATTATTATTACTATTACACAGTATCTATGTTTATTGTATTCTTCATGGGCTAGTCTAAAAACTAGTTATAACTTTCTTTTCAAAGATCATTAAAGCATATATTTTCATAAGATTCTTTTTCTTTCATTGCTATCTTTCATATGTAGAGATTCTGCTATGGCTGCATAATTCTTAAAGTTTGTTATCTGTGAGCAGTAGTAATGATAAGCTTCTGTGGTGTATCATGTAAATAAACAGAAATAGTCTTAAAAGAACACTTTGAATGGCATTCTTGATGCTAAATATTAAATGGGGGCCCTCTGATCCATGTATCTATGAAAAAGTTTTTGAGTTTGAGAGTTTATAAAGTTGACAAGTATGATATTTCACTATACTTAATAATATACAGTATACTTCAGATAGACATTTAGATTCTGACATGAGTCTCCAGTTCTCTTGGTTGCATTTTTTACATATGGCTTAATCTGTGCTTGAATTTCTGATTCTCTTTCCAGGCTCTTATTATGAAGTTGTAGTCTTATTTATGTTCTTGCCCAAAGTACAGTTTTTATCTACTGAGTCTTCATCAGTTTATGTTTATAGAAGTCTGCTTTCTCTCAATATGCCCTCCAAAATTCTGACATGGGGTCCAGGCTGATACACTATTGTTATAGCCTAAGAGTCCTTTTCCTGATCTCCGGGGGATCTGCCTTGTTCTATAGGCCATAGTGATAAGTATGAAGGGGAATGAAATCCTTTGAGACTAGAGTAGAAATATATGACATCTATCACTAGGGCAGGACCATTACACCTCCTTTCAAACCTAATTAAACTTATCACCACCCCTTTCTAGATTAGAAGTTTAGGAGTGATTTGTGACTTCATCATGAATCATTCAATGTCCAATAGTGTGCAGATTACTGTGCATTGACCTATCCATTGAAACAAGTTGCACACTTTTCAGGAATAACATTATGAATTTGTTAAACATCAGACTAAGGTTACGTATTAGATATTTGCTTATGGTTTTATCTCTGCATTTTGAAACTGCAAAAAGGACTACCCAGGTTTTCTTCTCCTACATTCCAATATTTATCCCATGTTATCTAATTGAAAATCTCATTACCAGACAGCTTGTATAACAAAAACTTTCTATTCTGGAAAGTTTACTTCTTGAATAGTTTGATAATGTAAAATAGCTTGTTATATTGTTAAGCACTTAAGCTGACTTTTTAAAAGTTGAGTTTAAAGAAGTAAAAGGATTTACAATTTAAAACTAAGCATCCTAGATCAATGAGCTAAAATAAAAATAGGCACATGGAAATTAAAAGTAGTTGGAACACAGGTGATTAAAGCCCATGAATACCTATAAATTTCAAATGCCAATTAGAGACAGCAAAAGAGATAGTATATAATGTTGTTGATACATATCCACAAATAGTTTGGATTATTTAAAAAGCTACATAAAGAGCAGATGATAAGCAGATTTTTTCTCTAGGAGTATTTCAAGCAAATTCAGAGGTGAAGTGAAGATGGTCATATTGTGACCCTCCTGTGCTTAAAAATGAGGACTGAGATGAAGAAATTCACTAGACCCTAGAGAACCATTAATGACCATAGAGGAGTTAGGCTTAGTTTTTCAACCAGATAGTCAGTCCTAGGTAAGTGAATATGCTAATTTTAAAACAGAGAATTAGATTTATTTATGATGAAAGACAAAATCCTAGTAACCTAGATTTTCTTTATAGAAGCTCTTGCTCTCACCATCCATCATTAACAATGAAGTTCAGCTTTTAGACCATGAGGGTTTTAAATACATAATCCTATTTCTCCAATAGCTTCCATCAAATGAAATCTGAATATGGGACAAAGCATTATCATAACTGATTGTATTCATTATTTTTTTAACCATCACATAAATATGTGAGATAGGTATCATTTTCTCATTTTTAATGGTGAGTGAAATTGTGCTTAGTAATATTAAGTAAATTGCCCAAGGTCAAATGGCATGTAAATTGTTCAAAGTGTGCAAATTCATATCTGCTTCCTTCAAAACCAGAGGCCTTAGCACATAATTACCCTGACATGCTCCTCAAATCAGCAGCACTGTCCTCCATCTTTTCAGTTGCCTTTGAACCTGTTGTAATCAGAGTGTCATCTTTTTATGAAGAATACAGTCTTCAAAATAGAAGCTATTGAAGGGAAATGAGGAGAATATCCTGGCTAAAACTGCATTACTCACAATAAATAATACTTTTCATATAATAACAAATCATAATTATGTGGGTTATTAATGAAACATGACATAGCTCTTATCTTGGTATTTGTTATTACCTTGGTATTATTTTGGATAGCAATCTGAGCTATTATCAAAGTAAACATGGACTTTTTTATGAAGCAATAGTATTCCATCTATTTAGTACTGAAGTTACTTCCTGATAGTACAGAGTCACTCTATATTGCCTTTCCTAAAGGATTCTCAATTCCCCAATATGAGTGTGTCCTTTGAAGAGTGATAAGGCAGATTTCCAGGTAAATTAGCAAACTGTCACAGATTATCCCAGGTGGTGATAAATGCCCTGGGTTTATATAAAATATTATTCCCATTCAGCTATGTGATCACTGCAGGACTCATAATCAGGTGAGCTTTGGTTTATTCATCTGAAAAAAAATATTCATATCTATCTTTAGTTGTTACAAGGAGTAAGTAAGATAGTGGAAATAGCGGTGCCAAGAGTGATATCTAATACACAGAAAGCAAGAAAACATGCAGGAAATATAACTTGACCCCTAGAGCTGTCATCAAGCCCAGAGTCTCACGACTTCCAGACATGTGCTTTATCATTGATCTGTCCTTTGCAAGACACAGTTTACTATCATAAATGCACAAATTTTGAAATTCTTCACCTATTTATTTATTTTTCTTCTTAGGTCCTCTTCCCAATACTCTGCGACAAGTTGAAATAGAGATCATAAGTAATGATGAATGTAATAAAGTTAGCGTATACGGTGGTGCTGTGTCATCAGGAATGATATGTGCTGGATTCTTGTCAGGAAAACACGATGCCTGTGAGGTAAGAAGAGACTCAAATCCACAAAAATGAACCTGTTGAATAGAGATGGGCTTACTGAGTCTAGGTCAATGTCACTTCATGGGACTCCATAAAATTAAGTCATGGAGGAGAGAGCAGAGTGTAAAAAGAAGGAATGAAAGAACCATAAGAAATACTCCTATTACTGTCTACACCCATACATAAAAAATACCACCAGCTGTACACTAGGACTCTGATTTGAGAAAAGTAGTGGCAGCAGATAAGAGAAACTAAGTCAAGAAGACAACAATCATTGCTTCAAGCCATAGTTATAATTGATAGATATCTAATCCCTACTAGTTGTAAGGCACTGTGGATGGGATTGGTAGATATCTCCATGGCCAATAGAGCGCCATTCCATAGGTGCTTGAAGCGTTGACCTTAAACAGTGTACATCCAGATAGAATTACACTATTTAGAAAACATTTGTCTCAATCATTATGCATTTAAAGAGACTACCACTTTCATTTATTCCTCTCTTTTTGAATTTATTGGAGTGACACTGGCGAACAAAATTATACAGGTTTCAGAAGCATATATTCACAAGATATCATCTGTACACTGTACTGTGTGTTCACCACCCCAAGCTGTCTCCTTCCATCATTTGTCCCCCCTATAGCTTCTTTTACCCCCCTCACCTTCCCTCACCCTGGCAATCAACACACCGGTGCTCCTGTCCATGACTTTTTTCTCTTTTTTTTTCTTTTTTGCTCAATCCCTTCACCCAAAACCACCCCCCAACTCCTAACCCCAAACATCTGTCAGCCTGCTCTCTATCTATGAATCTGTCTCAATTTTGCTTGTTAGTTCATTTTGCTTATTAGATTTCACATATGAGTGAAATTGTATGGTACTTGTCTTTCTCTGACTGATTTATTTCACTTAGCATAATGCTCTCCAAGTCCATCCATGTGGCCACTTTTAAACTCTGACTACTTAAAAGAAGAAAAATAAATATCAAAATTAATAGAGATTTCTACCTATAGCATTTGAAACTGGGCCTAACATTTTCACAGTTCTTGAAGGATTGGGAATGACTTTGAGACTTTTACACACATGAGTGCTTTTCTTATATGCAAAGGTGCCACCATTGACCTGCCATTGGTAATAAATATTCATTCATTGTTCATTCAAATTTTTTGTGAATTGCAAGGTACTATGGCAGTTATTGAAGGAAACATAAACATTTTAAAAAGCTTGAGTCTATGATGCATTTACAATCAAATAACAGCACAAAAGTAACTGAACAAAAAACAAAGATTTGGCTACATATTCTGGAATACAAGGTCTCCTTCTACTGGCTTTACTTCTTAAGAAGCAGAAACAACATTGGTGGCCCAGGATAAAACTGGATTACATGACTTTCAAGGAAGAACACAAAAAAGTCTATGATTAGAACAGACTTAAATCCACAAAAATGAATCTGTTGTGTAGAGAGTTGTATGTGAGTTTATAAGAGAGCAGATTTCCTCTTTCCATACTCCATGCTCCCTTGCTTCCTTCACCACTAGCATGCTGAGGACCTAAATTAGGATGTGGGCCTACAGGAAAGGAGCTGAGGAGAGTAGCTTTTCTTAGACCAGGGTTTTCACACTCTGTCTACCGTGCACTGAGTACTAAGAAGCGTGTTAAGGGAACAGAGCTAAAGGCACAAGAGTCTGGGACCCCATGCCTACTTCAAACAGGATCATTTCTCTTACTAAAAAAAAAAA